ATTTGCAGTAAAAATTATCAAAAGGAACGTTAAACAACAAACAAACAAACAACCTTTTTTAAGGTAAAAATAAAACAATTGTTTGTTTGAAATTGCCTACAGCCTCACTAAAATGACCACTCTTGAAATATGTTCTTACCATGCAAAGCTAAGATTTTTTAAATTAAAAATTAATAAATTCTTGGCCTGATCACATACGCCACTCAAACACATAAGTAGTGTAGGGTCTAAGGAAAACCTGGGTTCTTGGATGATGGGTGATACGTTTTACAAATAATCAGCAAAACAATGTTTTCACTGCTTATTGACATTTTTATCAACAATTTGTAGGTTCAATTTTGAAAATTTCTCTCCCTCCCTCCTTGATCTGAAACCCACCAGGTGGCAAATCCAATCTAACAAGTTTTTTTTTTTAATTTATGGATGGCCTGATGTGTGCTATTTCATAGACGGATTAATTCAACCTTTGTAAAATTTTAGTGAATTGTGGACATTTTATAAAAAATACATTATAGTTAAATTGAATATCATAGAATTTTTTGTCATAATTGACGTTCATTTTTACTTTCTTATTTTTCGCACAATATGTATTGTGTTTGCCTTGTTCGACCATCATCAAAGCAAGTAGGATATATTTCATGGAATTGCTATTCACAGACATACCAGGATTGTCACAAACAGTCATGGACAATATTTAAATCTCTATTAATATTTATCCAACGCTGACCAAATTTTGTATGATTATAATTTACGAAATGTCCCTCAAAATGATGAATTGTTAAATAAAAAAAAAATTATAGCAAAATTATGACGATTTATAAAAGGCCGATATTGTCTGTCGGCGCAGACCGTAACATGATAATGCATTAAAATACGTAACATTACCTATGTTACTATTGCAATTGCTTTGGGTTGCTCTGTCTTATTGATAATACGTAAATCATCAAATTTAAATTCAAATGAGGTGAATTAGAAAAGATGCATGTATAATATATAAAATTTTCACGTAAATAGCACTGGAAACAGAGGAGTGCTGACACAATATCTAAAGCGTACTGTGAATCAAATTTTCTGCAAATCGTCAAACTCGTCCTAGGCGCACAGGAATGTAATAAAATATGGGTTTTATTCTGATATCCCCCCCCCCCCGAAACGAAAAAAATATAAAAAAAAAATGATAGAATACACTACAGCATTAGCATAATAGTTATTTATAAATGGCATAAGAGATTCCGGAGAGTTTCACCTCAGAACCGAAAGTCGTCCGCGTTGGGTAGTGGTTAAAGCGTTTACTACATAGTCGCGGAGTAAGGAGATAAATCGATGATTCTTACGTCGCGGGTTCGAATCCCACTCCGGGACGTGGAGATAGGTCGTGCGGATGAAACCTATAAAAGCTTCTTGTTTCAGTAGGTGCTGGCACGAAAAAGATATCTCACTGCTAAAAGGCTGAAAGTGCCGTGTACAGGTCTACGTTTGCAGCCCTCTATCAGCAAGTGATGGAGAATTGTATGAATAAAGAAATCTTTTCTGGACGTTAAACAAAGAAACAGTAAAGAAAATTGCAAGGCCTAAGAAAAAGACTCAAGAGTAATAATAATTGTTAAAATCAGAAGGTGAGTAATGTTTTATATCACAGTCGACATGAAACTGTGTAATCTACGTAGTCCTTGGAAGGATTTAAAGTTCAATCTGATGAAGAAATTAGAAAGACATGGTGAATTTTATTGCGTTCCGAGTCAAGAATGGTTTGTCAGTGTATTTGAAAGAAAGCAGTGAGACTCACTGAGACGAATATCGCACACAAAGGCCAGTATTTTGACAGAAAATGATCATTAGGTTATAAGAAACTTTGATTATATTTGCTTCCATGTGCCGATCTACACGGTCATTTTCTCTTTGTTTTACATTATTTTCTTATTAATTTTGTTAATCTTATGAAATTTAAAGGGGCTTGGACACAAATCTAAAGTACATATTTTCTAAAATTTTCAGAATGTCATGTTTTATATGTTGCTAGAAAATTTCAGTCCGGAACATAATAAAAGTGTTTAGAAACTTCTCTTTTCTTGATATTATTACAACTACGAATTTCGGGCCGCGTTTGATATGCACATATCCCTGCATTTTCAGGGAGTAAATCTTATTCTTAATACTTAAGAAAAGTAGAAATGTTGTTGTGCATTAATGGAAAATATCAAACTACAATCCAGGAAATTCAAAGTATAAATTTGAGAAAGCAAAACCAGATCACCAGTATTTTCAGTCTGTGCTCAGTGATGTGTGCAGAATAAACAAATTGAACACACCTGGTAATACCTAAACAGTAACAGAACTACTGCCCTGCTTACAAAACACATATTTTTAACGTAATGTTTTAAAAATGACGCATTAAATCCTAAGCAAGTCGTTGTCATTGAATTCTAAGAATATTTATTTATGTTCAATTTATTAAACTGAAGTCATTTTTTGAATAAAAATAAAAATTTAAAATTGTATGCAATGTAACTGTGTCCAGGTTCCTTTAAAATTATTGATAATCAAATTTTTCCCTTTAATGTGACAAGAAAAGTAAGTTAAATTAGCAAAGAGAAAAAAAAATTTCAACGTATTTACGACTATTTGTTGTAACCCTCGTAGGTACAAGTATATTATCTAGACTAAAATCTTTATAATTATCCATGTTCCTGTAATAAGGCGCACTTTTTTCTTTCGTCAGATCGATTGTTAACTGTTCATTCAAATTGTTAGGCCATTACTTTTACACTCAATTATTTAAAGATTTCTCCGTTTAACCAATCATGACAAGGGGCACACGTCGGACGTGACAGGGGTTGCTTTCTCCTCCATGGCACCTGGTTTCAACATCTGTTTTCAAGGGTCCTTTTTATCACAATTGGTTTTGTTTAAATGGACTGATGTGCAGACCACTGTCTCTTATCTTCACTTTTCATGATGGAAAAGAAGAACAAGAGGCCCATGGGCCACATCGCTCACCTGAGTAACTTTGGCCTTGCTGTTTTTCACCTGATTTCTGCCCCCTCCCTTGTAGTACTTATTGTGGCCCTGCCCTACCCCAAGGGCTCGTGATTTGAACAAATTAGAATCTACACTACCCCAGGATGCTTCCACATAAGTTTCAGCTTTTCTGGCCCTGTGGTTCTTGAGAAGAAAATTTTTGAAGATTTTTACTACATATTTCAATGTTAAACTTGAATTCCCTATTGTGGCCCCGCCCTACCCCCAGGGGTCATGATTTGAACATTTTAGAATCTACACTACCCCAGGATGCTTCCACATAAGGTTCAGCTTTTCTGGCCCTGTGGTTCTTGAGAAGAAAATTTTAAAAGATTTTTACTACATATTTCAATGTAAAACTTGAATTACCTATTGTGGCCCCGCCCTTCCCCGGGGGTCATGATTTGAACAATTTAGAATCTACACTACCCCAGGATGCTTACACATAAGTTTCAGCTCTTCTGGCCCTGTGGTTCTTGAGAAGAAGATTGTTAAAAAATTTACTACATATTTCAATGTAAAACTTGGATTCCCTATTGTGGCCCCGCCCTACCCCCGGGGGTCAGGATTTAAACAAATTAGAATCTACACAACCCCAGGATGCTTCCACATAAGTTTCAGCTTTTCTGGCCCAGTGGTTCTTGAGAAGAAGATTTTTAAAGATTTTTACTACATATTTCAATGTTAAACTTGGATTCTCTATTGTGGCCCCGCCCTACCCCCAGGGGTCATGATTTGAACAATTTAGAATCTACACTACCCAAGTATGCTTCCACATAAGTTTCCGCTTTTCTGGCCCTGTGGTTCTTGAGAAGAAGATTTTTTAATAACCCCACCCAATTTTTGTATTTTCTTGATTATCTCCCCTTTGAAAGGGACTTGGCCCTTCATTTTACCAATTTAAACTCCCCTTCAATGTTAAACTTGGATTCTCTATTGTGGCCCCGCCCTACCCCCAGGGGTCATGATTTGAACAATTTAGAATCTACACTACCCAAGTATGCTTCCACATAAGTTTCCGCTTTTCTGGCCCTGTGGTTCTTGAGAAGAAGATTTTTTAATAACCCCACCCAATTTTTGTATTTTCTTGATTATCTCCCCTTTGAAAGGGACTTGGCCCTTCATTTTACCAATTTAAACTCCCCTTCACCCAATAATGCTTTGTGTCAAGTTTGGTTGAAATTGGCCCAGTGGTTCTTGAGAAGAAGTTGAAAATGTGAAAAGTTTACAGACGGACGGACAGACGGACGGACGGACGACGGACAACGGGTGATCAGAAAAGCTCACTTGAGCTTTCAGCTCAGGTGAGCTAAAAAAGCTCAAACTGCACCTTATAATATTATCAAAAGAAACGTAACAACCATATTTTATTGATTCATGACCTTGATAACGTAAACAATTAATATGGCACTAAGGCGTACTTTCAAAGTAACTTAAAATAGGTTTTTGGATACGTTTTTCATAAGAGAAGTTAACAATGAAGAGGTTTGATCACAAAGTTTATTTTTATCTTTGCATTTTGCAGTAGCAAAGTATAATTGTAAAGATAACATTTTATCTTCTTCCCACATATTTTATCATTGTGTAAATGCCTTCAATGATTTGACTTGCCGTTACCGCTAGATAAGGGATGATGCCAGTACATATTTATAATGAAGTAAAAATGCAAAATACAGGCCAGAGATATGGTTTCCTACTGAGAAATCATTATTGTGTTTCACCAGCCTGAAAATTAGGATTCAGCTAACACAATAGTGTTAACACGCCGCAGTGTGTTATATCAGATGTACAGTGCATGATACGTGGTCAGTATGATTTCTAGATCATTTAGAAAATTACAATACTTTACCTATCTCACAATTTTTTGTGTTTTTCTTATTTATCTTATGCTTGTCAATGTGAAAAACTTCAAACCTAAAATATGGATTCCTTTGGTTGGAAAAACTTCCTTGATTTTTAACAAAACAAATGAGAAGGTGAAAATGAAAACCACAACAGATCTTAAACAAGTTGTCAATTTGTTTGATAAAGGACCCCAATTTGATTCATCGTATTCACCTTTATATGAGAGATTTTCATCGAGCACGAAACCATCTTATGACTATTTCAAAGGCGAAAGGAATGTACCCAACGTTAATTGTCGTCTTCTGTTTCAAAAGGACTTAAAGGAGATTCAAAGAGTTGACCAGTTAAATATCACTAATAACAAACAATCCCTGTGTGAACAAATACAAGACTGTGAAATATTTATGACTAACAGAAAATATATTGTGGACCCCTTGACTGAGGAGGAGAAACTTTTCTCAATAGCATATAGTATACTTGTATACAAGAACCCAGAGCAGTTTGAAATTCTTTTAAGAGGTATTTATCGACCTCAAAACTTTTACTGTATTCATGTCGACAGTAAGGCCTCACAGAAATTATTCGACGAATTTGAATGTGCTATGAAATGCTTTCCAAATGTTTTTCTGGCTTCAAAGAGGACACAGGTGGAGTGGGGAAAGATGAGTGTGTTAACCCCAGAATTGGTCTGTATGAAAGACCTACTTCAATTCTCTCGTTGGAAGTATTTCATAAATCTAACAGGACAAGAATTTCCGCTTCGCACGAACTACGAGTTAGTAAAAATACTCAAAATACTTAATGGTTCAAATGATGCTGAGGGCACATTGAAAAGGTATATGATAATATAATACTAAAACTTGATACATTCTCCTATATCAAACAGTGTATTATATATCAAATCTCACATACATGACTGTTATAACTTTTAATTTCGATTGTTAATAAGCTTGGAGTATTTTAACATTGTCTAGTACATAATAATGGTATTCTTAGAGTTATCAGTTCTTATTTAATGCAAGTTATTTTTCTGCCTTAATTTTTAGCTCTACTGGTCAGAGACCAGAAGAGCTTATGCGATAGTAAGGTGTCCGTCGTCCGTCCGTCTGTCTGTCTGTCTGTCTGTCTGTCTGTCTGTCTGTCCGTCTGTCTGTAAACAATTTTTCAAAACGCTACTCCTCCTACAGTTTTGGTCCGATTTCAATATAACTTGGCACACAAGTAGACTACACTAAGATACATAATTTAGTGCATCGGTTTTTGATTTCGATGGACGGTGTTGTCATGGTTACTAAAAATAGAAATTTCTGTGAAATTCCTTTAAAACGCTACTCCTCCTACAGTTTTGGTCCGATTTCAGTATAACTTGGCACACAAGTAGACTACACTAAGATACATAATTTAGTGCATCGGTTTTTGATTTCGATGGACGGTGTTGCCATGGTTACTAAAAATAGAAATTTCTGTGAAATTCCTTTAAAACACTACTCCTGCTACAGTTTTAGTCTGCTTCTAATATAATTAGGCATACAAGAAGACTATACTAAGATACATAATTTATTGCATCGGTTTTTGAATTCGATGAACAGTGTTGCCATGGTTACTTAAAATAGAAATTTCTGTGAAATTCCTTTAAAACGTTACTCCTCCTACAACTTTGGTCTGATTTCAATCTAATTTGGCACACAGTTAGAATACACTACGATACATAATATGTATTTCTGTTTTTTTTTATTTGGGTGAGTGGTGTTGTCATGGTTACCGGTACTAAAAATAGAAATTTCCGTGAAATACTTTCAAAACGCTACTACTCCTAGTTTTCATTTGATTTCAATATAACTTGTCACAAAAGTAGACTACATTAAGATACATAATTCTATTTATTGTTGCATGTTGCAATGTTTCAAATCCAAGTGCTACTTTTCTTTTGTTATACAAACAGACCAGTAGAGCTACAGTCTCATCAGAGACTTCTGGTTCACTTATAAAATAGTGATTGAGAGGGATCGCTCGTGTAGAATTCTCTAAGCGTTGAAAACAAATATAGCGTATGTTACAGAGGTAAACAAAAGCACGTGTACTTCCTTCAACGGGTAGAATCATCTATACAACAAGAAAGAAAAGTAGTAATGGCTTTTTTTGTACATTGTGATCAGGGACAAAGAGCCAACAGGTCGTCATTTACAATAGTTATGCTCAGTATGCTGCAAAGATGTGACATATGCTGAAAGGTAGACCGACTGAGAACAGTTCCTATGTCGTGTGAAGGAAGCAGCATTTAGTATCTACGGATAAAAGTTAAGAATAAATCCATGTCAATATTTTTATGACCATGTGTTTCAATCAATGCAGTCAATTACACGATAGAAGCAATCAACCAGTCTCGACTAATTTAAGCTGTTAAGGGAAGCAACTCAAAAATAATGATCGGTGCCGGTATGTCCATGTCTTGTTTCTATATATATACATTTTCAGCCAAAATATCTAGAAGTCATAGGAAATGAAGAAACAATAATGTATACAATACAACAATTAGATGAAATAAGTGGGTTTTAGAGAAATATTATGTTGAAAAATTATGTAAGTCCCTTTTATCAACATTTTACAAAGGAAATGACACTGATTTGACAAACTCTAAAAAAGAAGCGTGGCTTGGTAGGTTAAACGATCCAGAATATAGCCTGTTTAGTACATTTACACCTACTCAAGAGTTCTTAAACAAACCTATACGATAACCAGGAACCTTGTCAATGTCCTTAAAGGGTAAAAAGTGAAGAAAACAACAGTGTCCAATGTTTCCAGATACTAACAATACGTATAAAACGTCGGATTTCCTGATACAAGGTATTTTATAAAATGATAACCTAATAATGATAATGATAATAATACCCTGCATTCGAATTTTTTTTTCTAGTTAGGTAGATATGATTAAGTCAAATAAATGATATCTCACCCCAATTGCTACAGATTTTTTTCTGTTATAAATAATGAACTCTACAAATGTTGTAAATCAAAGAACTAAAAGTACTGATACGAATTGATGGTCTTTCCATTCGCGTTATCAGTATATGAAGGTCACAATTATAATCTTTATTGCATCTGACGATATCTTTGTTCTGTAACAAAAATATTGTTTTTGAAGGTACTCGATGTACTCCAATGTCTCATTCCTTTTTCATGTGACGAGTTGTATAGAAATATTATAATGAGTATTTGCTAGTATTTATAGTTATGTAAAATGAGAAGAAAAACAATTTCCCATTACAAATTATATTTGCAATTTATTGAACATTGTTGCACTTTTTTGAAAAATGATATACTGTAGTTTTAAAAAGTAAATATCATTAGATATATCAGGGTCCAATAAATGTTAAAAACATGGAGAAAAAATTTTCATATGTATGTAAAAAATTACAAAAACAAAAAAGCCCACCCCAAAAAGAAAGATACAATGCTCAAATTAAATACTTGTCTCAGATTTAGCCATGCTAATCCACATGACGGGGACTGAACATTTAAAAAATAAATTTAATTAAAAAAAGAATGAATCTGTAAAAAAAAAAAATACTTAAATAATGACCAAGGTCATCTTTAATAAATGTTTTGTTTTTGTTTTTTTTTTGCCCTCTTCCGACTCAGGATTAAAAAAGAAATTGGTTAGGTAGTTAGGGGTATTTTTTCAAAATTTAGAAACACGTGCAAATGTGAAGTTAAAAAATATTTTAATAGAATGAAAAAAAAAACTTCGAAATAAATTTTAAAAAACCGAGCAGTTTATAACCAATCTGTTGGGAGAGGGCAAACAAACCATATTTTAAAGATGGTCAATTTCCATTTATAGTAATATAGATTAATGTCCTGATACTTGTATAAGAAAGAGCCTCCTAAACCATAACCATCCAAAAGAGATATTAATGTGGGTACACATTAAAATGCATTTTAGTAAAGGTATACAATATTGATTAATTTTATTATTGATCTGGTGACTACCAGAGGTTAAGTATATAGTGGTAAAATACACGATTTTTTTTTCAATTGGTAACATTTAAAATCTCACATATTTTCTGGAAACTGAAAGTATTTTTTGATCATGTTAAATAGTTCAGATTATGAAAAAAAAATAATTATTATTCTAATTCTCCTTTGTTGGATCTCTTTGAAAATGTAGGAAACGATTACATACTCTTTGATAATTCTGCTTATATATGTAAATGTAAATAACAACCTCCTGTTGTGATTTTAATTCTAGCACCTTTAGACATTTCTTGTGGAAAATCAAATAATCAATTACAAAAGTTCGGAAAAAAAACCCAAATGCGATCAATGTTTTGAAATTCACAAACAAATGCTAATTAAAAAAAAAATGCATTTAAACATAATACAACTGTCATCAACATAAGAACATGTAATAATAACTTCACAAATACTATGTTTTTATCAAACATACATAAAGTGCATTTTATATTAACATTAATCTAATTTGAATATATGAATCTTGTAAGTAAATCATTTACAAGAATTATATGAAACATGACTGAAGTAAAAGAAACATATGCATTCGAGTAAACAAACTAGAATTCATGAAAATATATCCTCGATTTTTCCTTCATGTTATAAACTTGGACATTATATCACAAATGCTTGTATATATCAATTAATGTGAAGAAACAGAATTTATGTAGAATACATGATCAAACAATTACATAATATGTCAACAGTTCTCTACACAAAAATGTGGTTAAAAATTCATCGCTTATGTTACAAAAATAGTCGATTCTCCTTTCAATTAATAGGAAAACATAAATGATCAGTGTTAAAAAATACTTGTTTTATCTTACATTTTAACCAGAAATAAATTATACATATCAGGAAAAAGGAAAGGAAAACACTATAAATAGCAGATTTCAGGAACTTTCATTGAAAGGAAATTTAAAAGGAAAATCTATTCAACAAGGGTCTTCTTCATTTCAAATTCACATTCAATGGGAGAACTGTGTGCCAGAACCTTCTCCACTGCATCATTTGAGCATTATAATACCTTTGAAATAACTAGTCATCCGTGTGAAATTCCTCTCCCAATGATTTCATCACGGCAATCCGATCTCCTTGGAACAAAATTTATATCGGCCCTTTACTAGTTGACGCTCGTGGTTCATCTTGCTACAAGTGTAAATTGAATAATCTAACTGTTTTAGGTAGTTGTTTTTCTTTACTAATCAATCACTCTTTAAAACTAAAAGCCATTTTTGTCAAATTCAACAATATTAGATAATAATGACCTGTTATGTATATTTGTTTAGAATTCACCGATTCAATTAATCTTTTTATGTCCAACTAGATTTATCATATTGGTTTAATTCACTTGCGAAAAATGACTTGTTATGTGATTGTGTCAAAAAGCAGTTCCACTATCTTATTGCGTTAAGGAGTGTCTATAGATAGAAAGATTCTATCCGATTTTCCATGTAGTTCCAGTATAGATGTATGTCTTTATACACCCAAGTAGTAAATGTAGTGACGAAGTACGCGATCCTGTACCATCTTAATGCAGTGAAAGTTTCGAAGTATTTTTCCTTTAAGGGTCGAGAGATTTAAGTTCTATCCCAGAACTGTTTCGGATTTTTTGACTAGAAATGTTCAAAATTAATAGCCAAGTCAAAGTTATTAAGGTCGGAGAATCGCATTTGTCTGTCGAGTTCTTGTTGAGCTTTCTCATATTCATTAAATAAACTTTGTCTTAGTGGGTGATTTTCTTTTCTTTTTCTTTTTTTTAAAAATATTTTACATACATTTTATATACATACACCTCTGTTAAGGCTGCATAAAAGGGGCGGGGCCTAATTTATACGGG